TACAAAACTCCTCGCTATCACCGTAGGCCTATGCTACCCATGGTCTTGACCTTGAACTTCAATGATTTTGAGTTTTTGAATTCGTCATCATAATTCATTTGAGCATTGTATTTGAATTGAATTTTAATAATAATATGAAATTAATCGCACTCAAGTAGATCGCTAAATTCTCACAATAATTGATTATTATCTTTAAACTTACCGAAATGTCCTTGGGTTGAAACTTTGGGATTAACAGAAAGGTATGTAATAAACATGTTGTCTTAAAGTTAAAAGTCATTTCTTCTAAGAAGATACAAGATAAAATTATAAATGAATACATTCATTAAATGGTTGAAGTAGCAATAATTAAGGATAAAAGGAAAGAAAATCAATTAAGATGATTTAGGTATGTTTAAAAAATATTATTAAATGCCTCTATTACCAAGAGTGATATAGTCTATATTAAGGGTAAAAAAAAAAAAAAAAAAAAAAAGGAGGAGGAGGAGGAGGTCATTTCATTGTGATTGCAGCTTTAAATAGAACCAAATGAAAAATAGGATTCAAGAGCCCACTCGAGTAGTTTAGAAAAACTTTTTGTTGAGTTGATGTATAATTTATTATTTTTATTAAATTATTTTAAATAAAAAGGAGTTGTTTCTATCGCAAAGACTTTCATGCACTTTTAATATTTCGTTATATATGTCATTAACTAATTTGATTGTGTTTTTCTTATAAAGACTTTCATGCACTTTTAATATTTTGTTATATATGTCATTAACTAATTTTATTGTGTTTCTCTTATAAAGACTTTCATGTACCTTTAATACTATGTTATATGTGTTATTAACTAATTTTATTGTATCACATAAATAAATATATTTTACTGTATTTTAGTAGGTCATATAATTACCTGCTAATATTTAATAAGTTAATAATATTGTATTATCACTACAACATGCACAATAAGTGTTTTTCTTATGTTTCTACTATAACACGCACAATAAGTGTTTTTCTTTATGTTTCTATTACCAACATTTAGTCATAAAATGACCTTTTGACTCAAATCCCAAGTTCAAGAACTCTGACACATTACTAGAAAAAAAATATAGCTAGAAATGGATGTTTAATACATTAAGAACATTAATACCATTCTTATTTATTTATTATTATTATTTTTATTGTCATTATTATATTTGTTTTTGGGAAATAAAATAAATACAATTTCAGTGCTTGAATTTTCCATAGCGTAATGTGAACACCTAAAAGGAGCGCAAGTGTGGTAAGTTATAAACCAGAGACATCCTGGTTCTAGAGTCATCAACCTAGGTTTGTGTATTAGAATTAGGTTTTAAATTTGTGAGACCAGAAAAATGTCAGGATCGAAAATTTTGAATTGCTTTTTATATGATCTGTTCAAACCGTGTAATGACTTTGGCTAAAAGAAAGTGCAAGTCAATTTAGAATTTTATACTAGGTAGATTATTTAGGCATAGTCAAAGACTTAAATGGTTAGCGATCTAGTTTTGATTAACACAATTTTTAAGCTATATATATATAAGATCGAGATTTAGATAACACCAGTTTAAGTTTAACGAAGGTAAGTTGTACCTTCTTAGAATGAGCGTTGACCATGCCGTCAACTCTAGCCAGCTCTCAAATCTCCTTTAGTCCTTGTTAATAGTAATATTCTAATTCTAATTAGTGTTGGATTATGGAATAGATTATAGACTTGTTTTTTTTTTTTTTTTTTTTTTTTTTTTTTAAATAAATTCAGATTTCAAGCAAGTTTAGTAAATCATAAATCTTCATACCCACTAGGAATTAGAAATGAAAGATCTCAACGGCCAAACAAATCTGATTAAGTGAATGTCATAATGACATTAAGGATATTAATAAGGGTAAAATATAAAATACTCCCTGAACTATGTTTGAATTTACAAATAATCTCCTTAAACTATATTATGTACATAATACCCCTTAGACTATATTATACTCTAATTAATTAGTCCAGCTATTATACTTCATGTAGTGAATTAATTTTAAATACATATGATAAGAAATTTGGTAATGTAAGTATTTGAGTGATTGATGAGTATATCTTGTGTAATTTGATGATTTAGGTGCGTTTGGTTGGATGGAAGGATTGAGGAGGGATGAATAAAAGGAGGGATCAATGAATTTTTTCATATTTGATTAAAAGGGAAGAGAGGGAGGAAACGTCCCTACAAACTCTATAATACTGATTACCTACAAATATATAATTTTCAATTATAATATTTCTATATAATTTTAAAATAGATATCTACTTTTTATAATTTTATATAATGAGGTTGAATTGATAAAAAAAAATATAAAAACTCTTATTTTACTTTTAACCAAATAGTAAAAAAGTGTCACCCTCATTCATCATTTCTATCATCTATTCCATTCAAGTAAAAAAAAAAAAAAAGGAGATGCCTCATCTATCCTTCCTCCACTCTCTTCCATTCATTTTTCATTAATCTAACCAAACAAAGCATGAAGGTTGTATTCACAATCAGATAACTCTCCTAATATTATTATATTACTTTTCTTTTTTACCATAATTGCCCTCATAATAGGTCACTAAAATATTTATCTGCATATCATCGATTGCAAGTCCATTATTTGGCCCAAAAACAACGACAGTTTTGATAAAAAGTTCGATATTCAAAACAAATTTAATTAATTTTTTGTGGGTAAGAGTTGATGTCTTTACAGAAATATTAATAATATGTTACTAAAGATGTGATGTTAGCCCCATTCACATAAATCAACTGAAGTCATTAGATGTACTTCAAAATATTGTCCTTTGGGTTTGGTATTAGAGCCCATTTGCCAAGGGTAAATTTGACCGGTTTGATTTAATCTTAGTCATTTTTTCTTTTTATAGCCAAATGTCATTAAACAAATCGAGTTTTGTTGTTTACTTCAAATAAATAAATAAATAAATAAATAAATAGTCATTCATATAAATCAGTAAGAGTTTATGAACTTTGAGATTTTAAATTATTATTCTTTGATAAATTAATGGGTTTATTCAAAACAAAAAGAAAAAGTTTTTTTTTGGTATACGTAAGATGATTCGTCACACATTTCATATCTTAGCTATAGCAAATTGACATTGAAAAATAACCAATGTTTGAGAAACTTGGTGGAAATATGCCAAACCCTAAACTAAAAATCCTCTAATTGTTTACGAGTTATATACAACCCACTAACTTATGCATTGGTGAAAGTCTAGTCAAGGGATGTCATGTTCTCCTACCAATTCAAACTATATACTATCAATTCCATTCTATATTTTTATTTGATTGGCCCTACTTTTTTTGTTTTTCAAGATCAAGTATTTATTGCCCGGACAAATATCTAAATTGACAATGATTGATTTGGGCATAAACTAAGTCAAGTGCTTGGGACAATTTGATGGGCTATCAATCGAATTTCACAGTCCGCCCTTTTGGCAGATAGTGGGTGGGACCATTTGAATGCTGTGCTCCGAGAGATAAGAGTCGTATAAGATCCAATAATAATAATAATAATAATAATAATATATAGTATTATCTTTACGCTAGTTTCGGATCTTTAAAATATCTTATAATTCACCGAATACAAAATATATTGGATAATTATAAAAAGAAAAAATTTTAAGAATAATTTCAGAATGTGTTCGATTGTATAAAATTGAAATTGGTTAAATATATTTTTTTTTTTCAAATTTAATTGAAATTGGTTAAATAATTTTTTTTTTTTCAAATTTTATCAATTTCAATTTCAAAACTCTAATTTCATATAATTGAATACACCTCAAAGTAACTTGAATTTTCAACCTTTAAATTATGAGTCTTTTACTATTATGCCATTCCCTTGAGTTGATAAGACCCATCATATAGCCTTTTCATTTTATATAATTATGACAAATTCTCAAATATCATGCATTTTTTAAAATTAATATATTTTATTTTTTATTTTTGGGTAGGTTAGCTTAATAAATATTAGACATTAGTAGAGTACTACACTATTAGGCTTTTTCATAACCTAAGTTGTGTTCCACTAAGTCACCAAAACAAGGATAAGTTTGTTTAATGAGCTTTTAAGTTTATGATTAGCATGTATTTATTCAAAGCTTCTATTTATAATTTTTTATCCATAGAATTTTATTAAAAATAAGTCATTTGATAAGTACAACACAACCAATATATAAAAAATAAAATAAAGAGGATAATCTAATAAATGTGACATCTCTTTGCTTTTGAAAGCGTGTGTAATAAGGTGTGTCCATATCTATATAACATCTCGTTTACTTTTCAATCGAAAAATTGAAATACTGAAAAGAAAAAAAAAATGTTTTACGCTTAATATTGAAATCATGAAAAAAATTAGCTGTCCGAGTGTTTAATTGGGTAATCAAGTAGCACCATTGATGCAAAAAACATAAAAAAAAATGCTACAAAAGATTTGCATTATACTACTATATGATTTAAAGGTTAATTAGAAGTGTTATATTTGCTTAATACTGCTATAACCCATCCAAACAGATATTGAAAGATGAAATGTCAAATAAAAAAATTAAAAAAAAATAAAAAAACTGCGGAGTCTACTTTGTTTTGGTTTTTCTATAATAATATTCTTTTATTACATAATAAGAAATACACTATAAAATTTATTTTGTGAAACAATATTCAAGAAATGTAATTTTAGATGACTATCTTTTTATTCTTTTTAGATGAAAATTAATAGTGAAAAATAAAATAAAAAAGAGAAATGGATGGAGGAAAATAATATATATATATATTATAAAAAAAAATTTACAGAGAAAGGAGTTTTCTGAGTGAGACATAAACGAGTCAACTTCACTTTCATCAAAAAAAAAAAAAAAAAAAAAGGTTCACTTTCATCGCATGGAATTCCGAGTACCTACCTTACCTACAACCTGTCCTAATCCTCAAAAAACCGAATTTTCTCGCTAAAAGGAACTTTTTCTGGCCTAGAATGTTCACACAAAGTAGAGACTACTAAGAAAGAGAGAAGTAAAAAGCATGTTTGTAAATTTGCCCATTTGAGCTTCATATGAAGAGCTCTCTCTTTGTTCACCCAAAGATTTTTCACCATTCAAGATGTGGGTTTGTATGTTACTTTGCTTCCTTTTTAAACTTTCCCAAATATTATAATCGCAGAAAATCTGGGATTCATTGTATTTGATTTCATCCTTTTTGGGTTTCAAAAGGGTTGCTCCATAGCAAAGGTTTGATTTTTTTTTTTTTTTTTTTTTTTTCAAAGAGAGCTTGCTTGTGGATTGAAAGATCCAAAATTCTTGGAAAATTTTGGAACTTGGATTTGTATCTATTTTGTCTTCTAATACTTGAACTCTTATGGTTTTTTCTTTGTCATCTTCTCAAGGAATGACTTGAATAATGCTGGTATTGCTGTTTTGGGTGCCTCTTTTTGGGGGAGTGAAGGACTCAAAAGGTATGTTAAGGCCTTGATCCTTGATGGGTTTTTGAATTTTGTGTTGTGGGATTCCTTTCACTTCCTTGTATTTGTCATTTCTGCAATACCCTTTAACCTTTTTAAAACTTCTGGATTGTTGGGTTTTAGGAAATTGATTGATTCATCACTTCTTTGAATCAATAAATAATTTGGACCCTTAAGACCCTTACTTCTTGGGTTCCTAGTCTTACAAATGATTGATTTCTCACTCTCTTGTTAATTATTGCCTTTTTTGGTGATTGGGTTTCTGAAAATTTAAACCTTCTTCTAGAAATGAGGGATTCCATATCTTATTGGTTGAGGCTATGATTGTTTTGACTTGTTGGAGTTGTTAACATATCAGTTTATGCTGTAAGTTTGATTTGGTGGAGGGTTACGGTGATGTCTGGGTTTTTCGAATCAATGAGAGGTTTGGTTTTAAGATTTACTGGGATTTTAGTTGTTGTTGCTCTAGTGTTTTGCACTTCGGAGGGGTTGAATTCGGAGGGGCTTTACCTCTTGGAGTTTAAGGGTGGCATTCAGGATAAATTTAACAATCTGGGAAATTGGAATTCCACTGATCAGACACCCTGTGGATGGAGTGGTGTGAATTGCACATCCGATTATGATCCGGTGGTCTGGTCACTTGACTTAAACTCCATGAATCTTTTGGGGACCTTAAGCCCAAGTATTGGTGGTCTGGTCTACCTAACTTATCTTGATGTTTCTTACAATGGGTTTACGGGCAGTATTCCCGGGGAGATTGGGAACTGCTCAAGACTGGAGATTCTTTATTTGAACAATAATCAGTTCAATGGACAAATTCCTGCTGAATTGGGTAATCTGTCTTGTTTAAAAGAGTTGAATTTGTGCAATAACAAGATCTCTGGCCCCATTCCGGAGGAGCTTGGAAAGCTTTCTTCACTGGTTGAATTGGTGGCTTTCACCAACAACCTCTCGGGTCCATTGCCTCGTTCTCTTGGAAATCTGAAGAGTTTGAGAAAATTTCGAGCAGGGCAGACTGAGATTTCTGGAAGCATACCCTCGGAAATAGGTGGTTGTGAGAGCTTGAAGTATCTTGGTCTTGCCCAAAGTAATTTAGAAGGGGATATACCCAAAGAGATTGGTCTGCTTGGGAGCTTGACAGATCTAATTCTTATGGATAATCAGCTGTCTGGTTTTGTCCCGAAGGAGCTCGGCAATTGTACGAATCTAGAGACCCTTGCTTTGTACCAGAACAGTCTTGTAGGAGAAATTCCTGTGGAGATTGGAAGCCTCAAGTTTCTGAAGAATTTATATCTATACAGGAATAAACTGAATGGAACAATTCCAAAGGAGATTGGGAATCTTTCTTTAGCTACAGAGATCGATTTCTCAGAGAACTTATTAACGGGAGAAATTCCAACAGAGTTTAGCCAAATAAAAGGTCTAGAATTACTCTACCTTTTCGATAACCATCTGACAGGGGTTATTCCAATAGAGCTTACAGGCTTGAAAAACTTGACAAAACTTGACCTCTCAATTAATAACCTCACAGGCTCTATACCATTCGGATTTCAGTATCTACCCAAAATGATCCAATTACAGCTTTTCAGCAATTCTCTGAGTGGTCGTATTCCTCAAGGGCTTGGAATTTACAGTGAACTATGGGTGGTTGATTTTTCAGACAACCACCTAACAGGAAGAATTCCTCCGTATATTTGTCGCCGTTCTAACTTGTTTTTGCTGAATCTGGGGTCCAATAAACTGTATGGATATATTCCTACTGGGATCACAAGCTGCAAAACAATGGTGCAGCTACGTCTCGATGGAAATATGTTGACTGGGAGCTTTCCTTCAGAGTTGTGCCAATTGGTGAACATTTCAGCTGTTGAACTGGGCCAGAACAATTTCAGCGGTCCTATTCCTCATGAGGTTGGGTATTGCCAAAAGTTGCAAAGGCTTGATCTCTCGAACAATTTCTTTTCTTCTAAGTTGCCAAGGGAGATTGGAAATCTGTCACAGTTGGTCAGTTTTAACATTTCATCTAACATGTTCACTGGATGGATTCCACTAGAAATTCTTAACTGTAAGATGCTTCAACGACTTGATCTGAGCCGAAACAGTTTTGTAGATGCTATACCAAATGAGCTTGGTGCCCTTTCACATTTGGAGCGTCTCATGCTTTCAGAAAATAAGTTTTCTGGAAATATACCAGCTGTATTGGGTAATCTTTCTCATCTGACGGAGTTGCAGATGGGTGGCAACTCCTTTTCTGGTGAGATACCATCAGAGTTGGGTGCTCTCACAAGCTTGCAAATTGCGATGAATCTTAGTTATAACAATCTCTCTGGCAGCATTCCTCCACAGTTGGGAAATCTTATTTTACTTGAATTCCTCCTGCTTAATAACAATCATTTGAGCGGTGAAATTCCGAGCTCATTTGAAAAATTGTCAAGTTTACAGGGGTGCAACTTCTCATATAATAACCTTACTGGGCCTCTACCTTCCATACCTTTGTTTCGGAATTTGGCTGTCAGTAGTTTTATTGGAAACAAAGGGCTTTGTGGCGGGCCTCTTGGGGATTGTGGTGGACCTTCATCTTCTAACTCAGTCCCACGTTCTGTGGATGGTGTGGATGCGCGTCGTAGTAAAATCATTATTGCAGTTGCATCTACTGTAGGTGGAGTTTCTCTTATTCTAATTGTAATTATTATATATTTCATGAGGCGTCCGGCTGAGGTGGTTGCTTCCTTGAATGATAAAGAGATACCCTTTCCCGCTTCGGATATTTATTTCCCTCCAAAGGAGGGGTTCACTTTCCAAGATCTGGTTGAGGCGACAAACAATTTTCATGACAGTTATGTTGTCGGAAGAGGTGCTGTTGGGACAGTTTACAAGGCTGTTATGGATTCTGGAGAAACAATTGCTGTTAAGAAGCTTGCATCTAACAGAGAGGGGAACAACATTGAAAGCGGCTTTCAAGCTGAGATTTCAACCCTGGGAAAGATTAGGCATTGCAACATTGTGAAGCTATATGGTTTTTGCTATTACCACGGTTCCAATCTGCTTCTTTATGAGTACATGGCCAGGGGCAGCTTGGGTGAATTGCTTCATGGGTCATCTTGTAGCTTGGAATGGCCGGTACGCTTTATGATTGCTCTTGGGACTGCTCATGGTCTTTCTTATTTACATCATGACTGCAAGCCAAAGATCATTCACCGTGATATAAAGTCTAACAATATTCTACTTGATGATAACTTTGAAGCTCATGTTGGTGATTTTGGTTTGGCAAAGATTATTGACATGCCTCAGTCAAAGTCAATGTCTGCAGTCGCAGGATCATACGGATACATTGCCCCTGGTATGCTCTCTCATTGGCACTTCCATTGCAGTATTTTATTTCTTTTCCTAGGTTCATCGTTGACATTATTGACTTATATATCAATACCATTGAATATTCTTTTATGAGGTATTTGATGGAGAAGTATCTCCTAACTGGAAATCCTTCTGACTCTACTTTGATGAGCCAGATTTTTAGAATATGTGAAGTCTTAAGACTCTTTTTTGTTCTTAGTACCATGATGGTTGAATGTTTTATAAGGTTCCTCTTAGATAAACACATGCCAGTATTCTTTCATTCCATGATATATTCAATGCCAAAAAATACCTAATTTTGTGCTTTCAAATGAGTTTTAGGAGTACACATGTAGTTATGGGGTTGAGTCATTATCAAGATTGGACATTTTGTATTAAGGTGGAGTTTTGGATTCTTCTTTATATTGAGCCTTTAATTTAGGTGTCATTTAGATGGTTGAGCGAGAATACAATGAATCAAAATTTATGCAAACATGAACTTTTAGTTTTTTGCACATACTACTGGCTGACATAACTTCACTTTATTTATTTATACATACATACATATATATATATATATATTTATTTATTCTGTTCCTTTTTCTTAATATGTTCTCTGTTATACTAGTTTCTAAAGAGTGTAGTTATTTTTTTTTATTAAGTATGCATATGCATTTAGATCTCCTCTGAAGTTTGAGCTGCTCTGTTGTATTTATGTCATATACAAAACATGGTGATGCTTCCATTTTTTATAGTGCTGGCATTCTGTCATGGCATTCTTCCTTACATTCGATGGATAATTCAATGTGTAATCCAGTTTCCATGACATCCATGAACTTACCCTAAATGAATTAATTTTCATATTACGAGTGATCCTCGTAATCACTTATGTGCCTTGAACAGCTTGGTGGAAATATCTCCACTGTTCACAGCTGTTACAAACTAAGGTCACCTTGTGTTGCTGGTTGCACATTGGTTTATGTTTTTTTTTTTTAGATTGAATATTGGACATGGAATCGTATATTTACAATAGGAAATATTTCAAAGTCGCACCCAATAATATAAATTTCTGGCTCATCACTGTCGGAATGCTTTGACAATTGAAAATTTTGAAATTTATTTCTTGTACTGACTAATGATTGGCCTTCTCTTGATGCCAGAATATGCATACACGATGAAGGTCACAGAAAAATGTGACATCTATAGCTATGGGGTGGTTCTGTTGGAGTTGCTAACGGGAAAAACTCCTGTACAGCCAGTAGATCAAGGAGGAGATCTTGTCACAGTTGTGAGGACTTATGTTCGAGACCATTCATTGTCGTCAGGGATACTTGACTGCCGATTAAGTTCCAAGGACGAGAGAACAATCAATCACATGATTACCATCTTAAAAATTGCTTTAATGTGCACGAGTATGTCCCCTTCCGGCCGGCCATCCATGCGGGAAGTTGTGCTGATGCTGATCGAGTCTAATGACCGAGAAGGGAACTTCATTTCATCTCCAGCTCATGATGATCTCCCTTTGTGCGATGATGCCTCATGAACGCATTTGACAATTCCCCAGGTTCATTAACACACATAATTACTTAATTGTATTATTTACCATTTAAATGATAAATATCATCATATACATCCATCTTTTCTTCTCAAATAAGATTTCATCAGTCATGTTCTAGTACAAAATTGATGTTACTCTCTCTTTCTCTCTCTCTCTCTCCCTCTTTTTTCATCCTTTTGAAATCAATACATAATAGTAGGAAAATAGAATGTACCTGTTGCAACAGAACTTCATTTGTATCTTAACCTCTCATGAAATATTAGTTCATGTAGCTGTTTGGCCATTTATTCTATATGATGATCTAAGATCGCTTATATTCTATCCATTTTCTGAATATTTATCTATTTTTGTTTCACAATTGAATTGATTATGAAATTCGATGTCATTCCTCTTGAGCAGCAGATTCCCCTGCTAGATTTTAGTTGCAGCTTATTGTATTTTCGTTTTAAATCATTGCTTCAGAAACCTTATAAATAAATAATTCACTGGCTATGAGATAATATATTGCATTTTAGCTCCCTTATTATTTTTTTTTTTTTGAGCAATTAAGGTGTTAACTAACTCATTTTCTTGCTCCTGTTAGGCTCTTTATTTAGCTGATTAGTGATAAAATTGCATCACGAAAAATATTTTTCGTCACTCTCATTGTAATGCAAATAAAGATTATAATCTTCTCCTGTTCCTATGTTTTAAAAGCTACCCACATTAGTAGACCTAAGTTCCAAAATTCCTTGAACAGCTTCCCAAAACACCAATAAGTTTATATATTGCTTTTGTCATTAAAGAGGACAATTAGTAAAATATTTTGAATTGTGATGAAACAGATTGGCTGTGTTTATTACTGCCCATGTTTTAATAATGGGAATTAAATTTTAATTTTAATTTTTAGGAGTATCTAAATATATATTTTTACTGGTGATTCGATATCTGTCTTCTGCATATTTTATTAGATGTGTGATACAAGTGTTAGAGATATAAATATAGATTGGAATGGTACTTTTGGAAGCTGAATATGTAGATTTGGAACTAAATGAAAACCTATAGCCTTGTGGTACTTTTGGTATGTTAGGATCTCTCTCTTTTATTATTTATTATTTTTTTTAATTTTTATTAAAAAGAAGATAACTAGATGAGTAGGAGAAGGTCTTAAGCAAAAGATATTGCAAAAATCAAGTAAAATAATAAAATTACCAAGATATAAACATTTTGAAACCATTAAGGTTTATTGTAATTTTAGAAAACATTATGGTCTAGAAAGACATTCTGTTAACTTCAAATCTCCGTCTCTCTCCATGTGTGTGTGTGTGAGAGTGCTTAGCCAGCTTTTAGTCTGTATCAAGAAGTTAGATCCTTAATTTGTTGCTGCTGCTGCTTCTTTTTCTTTCTTTCATTTTATTGGAAGTGCCATTTTGTGGTCCAGAAGAAGAAGTATGTACTGGATTGGGTTCAAGTTGGCTACTTGGGCCTTCAACCCGAGCCCAACTCAATCTCAGCCTTATATATAATTGGGCTTGGGTTAGTTATTCGGTTCTGGGGTTCAATAACTAACTCGCGCCCAATAATATAGCCATTTTTTGAAAAAAAAAATCTGGCAAAGTTACAATTTCATAAATGAAAACCACACATCTTCATTCTTCATCATTACAATCTAGAAAAGTTTTCTCCAGGTTCTGTAAGGGAAGCTCCTCACTGAATATATACTATCCCAATGCAATATATACTCTGAAAACCCCAAGCAATAATTTTTATTATATATATATATATATATATATATATATATATATATATATTATAGTATTAACATTTATATATACAAATTAAGGTTCAGTCAGTTTGATTTGGTCGTGTAGGATCCCAAACCAAAATTGAATCTGTAGTTACGATTACATTAAAAATAGAATCAAATCAAATCAAACCGTGAAACTGAAACCAAACGATTTCATTCTTGGATTCTGGGGTTCAATAACTCAAGCCTAATAATAAAGTCTTTTTTTTTTTTTTTAATCTGACAAAGTATAATTCCATAAATGAATATCAAACATCTTCATCATTACAATCTAGACAAGCTTTCTCGTCAAATTATTATTATTTTTTTAATCTGGCAAAAGTACAATTTCATAAATAAAAATCAAACGTCTTCAGCATTACAATCTAGCCAAGCTGTCTCCGGGTTCGGTAGGGGAAGCTCCTCACAGAATATATACTACACTGAAAACCCCAATCTTAAAGTAAAATATATACTTACCCTTAATACTTAAAAGCTTTAAGGTAAACTATTAATTTTTATTATGTATATATATATATATATATATATTTATATATAATATATACATTTATATAGACAACTGTTCAATCAGTTTGGTTTGGTCTGTAGGACCCCTAACCATAACCGAAATAGTACTACTTAGTTTCTGGAATTAGAAGGGAATCAAATCGTTAAAAAACCACTCGAACCAAACTGACCGGTCTGGTTTACCCACCAATTTTTTCGTGTATTCCTAAATAAATTTATGCCTTACACATATAGTGTTGTCATTGGCCTCGGCGCCATATATACAGATTTGTGGCCTCGTAACATCAACGTAGCAAGTTCCATAGCACCTCTTTTCATCCCTGTTTGCATCATAGGCGTCCACAAACTCATCATTGTTCATCCATTTCATGTTACAGTAATAGAGCGTGGTGAGCATGAAATTGGGCTCGAAACTCCACTCGTAGTAAGCTTTAGAAGGTATGACATGGGTGCCCAGATCGTCATTCTTGGATTTGCAGTGAATGGTGAGGTTTGTACCAAACCCTAACACATTGGTAATGCGAACAGTCGTTTTTCCGGACACGATCGATGCTTCCCATAGAACTATATACAACAATGCGATGACTATGATCTTTTGCAGATAATGGTGTTGTTTGTAGTAGGCAAATGAAGAACTCATGCTATATAAAGTGGTTTGGTTTTTTTTTTGTTTTGTTGAAGTGAAATGGAGATTTGGGTAGAAGAGAATGTGTCTTATTTAAATAGGGTTTTAGAGGTGAATAGAAGTCCTCTCAATAGAAGCTAGCTTTTGGCCCTAAAAGAAATTAGGGTGAATTGGGTGATTCAACGGTAAGAACGCATTTACGCAAATTCCAAGCATATACAATGGAGAGAAAATAGATTGAAGGCCACACACATTAATAAAAACAACACAATAATAATATTTTGTTTAAATCACTCGCCGTTACCGGTGTATAATAACCTCTCATCTCTCAAAGGAGACTGTGGAGGGAGTCGAGTCTCGTAGTGGCATTTGTAGGCCATTCATTGGTAATTGCCATGTAAGATAGGAGGGGGTATTGTAATATGTGTCTGGTGATAAATTACGGAGATAAATTATGGAGTGTTTTAAGATACCCGAAACTACCATCATCAATTAAAAAAAAAAAAAAAAAAAAACCAACAAATACATGCCTTATTTATATGTAAAACGATTTGAAGGCTGAAGAGTCTAATGACAGCAGTGCCCTATTCATATTCAAAAATTAGAAGAAAAATAGATTAAAAGTATTTTTTCATCATCTCAAACACCACAAAAAAGTTTTAGGCCAGATTCATGAACATTTTGTCCTTTCTCTGTTTTTAAGAATCTGAGATATTCCAAATATTTGTAGGGCTTGAAGTGTAAGGTGTGTTCTTCATCCACTAGCTCGGTTGGGACTTTTACAATGTAGCCTTCTTTTGGGGTCACAAACAGCCCCAATGAGTACCCCTTTTCATTTTCAGTCATCACAACCCAATGAAGCGGAGCATGCACATGCCCATTTGTCCATGCCCACATAATTATAGAATTTAGAGTTTTAAGAAATGTCATGATCTTGGTGTCAACATGCAAGTGGAGCAAGTGAAGAGACTAACGTGGAAAGAATCTCCGGGCATGACAATGAAATTGTCCGGCGAGAATTTCACAGTGATCCACTTTCCGTCTTTGTTTTGCACCTCTAATCCATCTACCTGATTAAGCTGATGCAATATGGTCAAAAAGTTGGGATCAGTGTGGGGTGTCATCATAAGCTTGCTCTCCATAGTTTTGGGACCTTTATACTTCATGACTCGAAGAGTGTATTGGGTCGAATCTGTGTGTTCCTCAATGTATTTCTCAACGCCAAAGCTCTCCAAAATCATCCTCCTGATCGTTTGATCTAATTTAGATACTTGCTTTGAGAAGGACGGTACTGTTTTTCTGCCAAATGAAGAGTGTCTGGTCAAAACTAATCTTCTTGTTTTTGTTCAGATAAATAACTCATTTGACTTTTTACACTTCTTAAAAGACGGTTTCAATTCAGCGAGAGCTCATGCCTCTTGTCATGAGAGAGTTGTCATAGTAGCAGTACTCTTTATTTTAAACTCGGGTTCCTAAAAAAAAGTTGTCAACAAATTCAATTTTCAAGATTCTTATATAGATTAACGAGGTTAGGCTTAATTACACACAATGATCGAAATATGGTTTAATATCACCCAAGTTAGGTGTATAACTATCATTTCCCGCGACCTGTGCAATTGAAATACAACTGATATAAAGGAGATCATTGTTAATGGATTATTACTGTTTTTTGTGAAGACGAAATCTTATTTGGCAGATCCATTATTAAAAGACATGTGAAAGGAACTAGTATTCAAGACCAAATCTAATTTGACAAATTCACTATCGAAAGACATGTGAAGGGACCTTGCGTCCGAAACAACTAAAGGAATTAGATTTATTTTATTTTATTTTATTTATTTATTTATTCAAACTAAAGGAATTAGATTTAAAGCATGTAACCAATAATGTTGTAATTATGGGAACCCAACCCAGTGATATATCTCCTAGCGGGTTCAATGGAAAAACAGAACTCTAGAAAATATATTTTTGTAACATTTCTAACTTATACATTTAATATATTTACATATATTGATATACGTGCTTGAATACATGACTACATGAGTTCATAGAGGGTGTCACTCTATGGACATACAGATTATTATTGGTCTTTCAATAAAGGTTTTAATATGTTGTATGTGTAGACAAGGACTTTAGAGTCAGTGACGGGTGATGCTCCTGGTCGCGGGTGATGCTCCTGGTCGACAGGAATTCATTCACTTGCCTTTGATATTCAAGTGGCGCTTCAGAGATTTTCATTATCTCGACTTAGCCATGTTCATAGAAATGGCAATGAAGTTGCTTACGCTATTGCGAAACTTTCCAGAGATTTCTTTCCTCAGGATATGGCTCTTGTTCATCTTCCAGGGGATATTCTGGATTTGGCAGCTAAGGATTGTATGTCTTGCTAGTTGCTGTTTGCAAGGTTAAAAAAAAAAAAAAAAGAAGGGGAGGAGATTCTCGAACGAGGAAAATGATCCAATGACTTCGAAAGAATTGAACGAGGAGCCATATGAGGTGAAAATCTCATGTACAGTTCTATAGAGTGATAGTAAGGGTGACTTATTTGTTAACTTTTCCATTATCACCCCAAAAAAACCAAACTCTGCCTTACGTAAAGTTGCCAGAGTATCATCCTACAAATCCATCGTTCACTTAGTTGTTCAGGGGAAAATCTTTATGAAATCGATGCTGTTGGATTGAAGGCTTGACCCCGGTAACTTTGGAGTCATGGAGAGAAAATGGTAACGGTGAAGGTTGTAGGTGGGGAGAGAAGACGGTGATGGAAATTAGGATGTGTTTGGTACAATGAAAAAGAAAATAAAAGATTGCATTAGTTAGAGGAGAAAAAAAAAGAAATGAGATGATAGTGTTAATCACTTATCATGTTATAAGTGTTTGGTTGATTTACTGGTTGATTAATAAAAGAAAAGGAAAAAGAATGGATGGTAATCATATTTAGGGAAAGAAAGAAAATAAAATTATTTTAATGAATTTACACCACCTTTTTCATAAATTTTGTTTATTATAAAAATAAGGGTAAATTTGGTATTAACAAATTAAGTTTCATTAAAACTACTAGTCTTTCCTTCCATTTTCTTTCTTTTCGGGGGAATAACAAAACCTTCCATTCCCTTTCTTCTCCTTCCAAAATTTTATACCAAATCTAAAAAACAATATCCCCCATTTCTATCCTTTTTTTTTTCCTTTCATTTTTTTCAAACCAAACTACCCTTATATTGGGTGGAGAGAGAAACGAAGAGACTCATATAGGGGTAATATACTAAATTAGTTTACAAAAATTTTTCTTTATTTTATTCTTATAAAGTCAAGGGCATAAATGACATTTCCATCCTATTTTGGATGTCCATTACTCCACTACCCTCAATATTGGGGTCAAGTGTAATTAGACTATGTTTTGATTGGTATATGTAATTAATCCAAACTTCAAAAGTTGTGAGTGTAACTAAAAACATCTTTGACGTAACCAACAACAAAAAGAGTAGTGATATTTATACTAATTTGTTGCAGTGAATAATTACCTAGCATAATGTTTCGGTCTCATTTCCTTATTTGTTGCACAAATAAGTAAATAACCAATAAAAAAAAGTAAGGTTGATTAGCTATTTATGATACTTTTACCGATTTGTTATCGTCAATTATCACACCTACTTCTTGAATTGGTTATTTGTGCAACAAATAAGGAAATGAGATCATCCATTTATTTATATTGTGCATAAATAACCAATCAAAAATATCATAAATATTTGGTTAAGTAATTCACTGTAACATATCGGAAGAGGTATCACTGCTCAAACAAAAATGACGGCAATAACAACAAAAACTAATTAAATTAACTTACCCAAAGCTGGGATTTCCTTCTGGCCACAAGCGATTAGTGAAGCTTATGAGTTTTTCGGGGATGAGTACATCTTCCATAGCCAGGATCTCCATGCGTGCCATTTGTGACTGCCCAGTATAGCCACCGAAGGGCTTCTTAGAAGAGAATCCCGATTTTGTTTGCAAAGGAAGTTCAAATATCTCTTCTATTGCACCAAGCATCCCTTTTCAAAGCTCAAAAGAAACTTTGTTGAACAATGCCTGGAAGATACCGTATTCTTGAAGTGCTTGCTGAACTCGGTCTCTCACCGAGTCCCACTCAGAAAAGCCTCGCTTTAGATATGAGAAATCTATGACAGGAAGGTTGAAAAGAGCTTCTGAGCCCTTTTCTTTTTCTTTCTTTGGCAGTGAGGGGCTGAAGCAGCTAAAAGATGTTCTATAGCAAATGTATATATAATTTTTACTGCTAAAATTTGAAAAACTCCTGATATAATATAAACTACCACATTACCCCCATTCCGTTATAGACCCATTAAGTGTCTGCAAAATGACAACAATGCTCTTGATAATATATTACTCCCATATTAATAGCCCATTATTTCATTTTTTGCTGTCCCGTTTTAATTGTCACATTTAAAAAATTAATACACTACTTTTTATTACATTTTTAATTTACCCCTAAAAGATTAAACTAATTAAAATTTCAAAATAAGTGGACCTCATTTTCCATACTACTACTTTTGAAACCCAAAAATAAGTGGACCCCATCAAAAATCAATACCCTACTTTTTAGGGAAGGACAAATTTCAAAATGTATTTTTTTGCCAACCCAATAATATGATAAAAGTTATTGTTTTAAAAAATGTGAAATGTGAAATTGGACTATTATTAAGGGATAGAGGGAGTAGTTAAATGTGTTCTTTTTAAAATGACAGCTATATCCTCTGTAGGGTTCATGAACGATGTCGTTTGGCAAACTTTCTTTTTTTTTTTTTTTCTTTGTTTTTTTTTTCACTGCCATAATAGCCCGAAAAGCACCACCAATGTGCATATATAGCAAGTGAGTGTATATATAATTATAATTATAGGAATTATATAATTTTAGTAATTATTATATAATTATAATAATTATAGCAATTATATAATTATAGGAATTATAGCAATTATAGGAATTATAGGAATTATATACATAATTA